ATATATATATATATATATATATATATTTATTTACAACATTTATTAATCTTTGCTTGTGTTAGTTACTAAAAATACAATTGCTCATTTAATCAGATTTATTTAATTTTATTTGTTTTCAAAATTTTGTTTGATTAAAATACACATATCCTAGAACATTTGCTACAGACTTCAATTTCGGTCTGTTCATCACACAAAATTATTGTATGACTATTGCGAAAGTCATATGTACTGTTTTTATGATACATTTGTTGTGTTTTTTTTGGCACTATAAAACAGCATACAGGTAAGGCATGACATGAGGGTGATTAAATTATGTATAATAATAATAATAAATCCTTACCATAACCTGCCATGGAGGTGCCATGGGGCCCTGAAGGGTTCTGGTTCTCCTCGCTAAGGACTTTGACATAGCGATGGCTGAGCTCGAGGATCTGTTGGCGGAGCTCGGCGCTGCTCTGGCGCCGTGGTTGTGTGATGGTGTAGTGAAGCAGCAGCAGACACCAGGCCAGGCCGAAGACCACCAGAAACACACTCAGTCTGTGAGACATGCTCCTACGCAGCACACAGCTCAGCATGGCAATGCTGCAGGTCTGATGGGACCCGGGTTAAGGGGATGGGGTGGGGACAGGTTTATAAGAGGGTGTCGGTGTCAGGTTCAGGGCTGGGAATAATTAAGTATTGAAAAAGCGGAGTGGAGGTTAAAATTAGGAATGGGGAGAAAAGCCGGTAATAAGGTCACTGATCTCAAGTATTTGTTTAGCTGTTTTGACTAGGAAATTAACAGCAAGGAAGATAGATGGATTGAAAGTAATTGTCTATTGCTGAATAGGGGTCAAGTGCAAGGAATACCTGTAAGACACAACACACAGACACACACACAAAACAAGCAGAAATTTGTCAGAATAATTGTATTAAATGGCTATAGTTACAGTTAATACACAAAGCTTCGGGTTTCAGTTTGTATGAATAAATTACGTTTCCATCCTTAAGTGAATAGAAGCCCTGTCATCACTCTCTTCCTCTGTGGTCACAGTGCTATTCTCCACCCAATCACAAATCACTCAAGCAGATGGTGCTTTAGATAAATTAATAACGCAGGGGGGAGAAATACGACCACTTTTAATCATCACATCCCCACAGAAACAGCAGGACAATACTAGTAAAGTTAAAATGTAGCATTTTTGCATATTGATTATATTAGTCAATGAAATCAATATTGTGACTGTTATAATGGAAGACTGACCAAAGTGCAGGGGATTTGCACTGTGCTCCACCCTGTCAAACGATTGTTTTCAGCTGTAATGCTGTCAAAGTATATGAAACATGAAATTTAAGAAGGGAATTACAGCATAAAACTGGGTTAAAGCTCTGAGGTCAGACATATCATGCCTTTGCTGAAAAGATAGTGATTATTAGATAAACAATGTGAGAGTTATTCATTGACTCGTTTAAATGTTGATGTTATCTAAAAGCTGCTGTAGCGATATTGGCTTGGAGAAAAGGTTAGCAATAACAGAAAAACAGGACCACTGATATTTGGCATGCAGTATAAGCAAATGTATATAATCAAACAGCTTTTAGCATTCTGGCTGAACTCATATCATGCTTGTACATATGCTCGTTTTTCTCTTTTTCACTCGGTTCTCAAGGTCTGCAGACTGATATTAAGCAGCTTAACGAATCGCCTGTACTATTGCACGCACTCTATTATCGCTTTAAGACAAGGCCGGGTGTGAAAGGTATTGAACAGCTGGAACAGCCTGATGAATCTGCTACTGTAACATAGCTAATATAGAAATTACCTTAAATACTTTGGTCAAGGTGACGGATTCGTGGACTCCAAATCGTTGACATCTTAGCGCCTGTGAATGGCAGCCCTAGCAAGCCTATCTTAAAAAATCCGTAATATTAAAACAATATTCAAACTGCATCATAACTTCAAAGCAACCGTCTCTGTATTAAGTATGAAGCTAATTATTTTTGAGGTAACGCCTTAAAATAAATGCCAGATTATAATTCGGAGCCGACTGTGGTGGCGAAACTAGGAATACAGAAAATCTTCAGTAGTATTTTTCCCTGCGGTGACTACACGAGCTATTGCGTACGACGTCACGATACGCACCAGCGACGTCCGGTTATGAATGGCTCTTCTTTGGAGTCGAATCTTTTCAATGAATCAAATTCACAAAACGATTCTTTCACATTGGACTGAACAAATCGTAAAGCCCAAAGAGCTGTGTCTCTGCTAAATGAATTTAAAATATGCTTGTGATTACCTTTTATTTTTTTTTCTAATTTTATTTTTTATTATTATTTTTTTTATTATTATTTTATTGTTTTTTATTTTATTAAAATCGTCTCAATTTGTATTTACAAAATGTGAAAATATGAAAAATATGTGAAGAACTTGCTGTTGAATTTTGTAATTTTGAAAGTTCAATACAAAAAAAGAAAAAAAAAAAAATTCACGCAACGAACCGAATCAGTATACTGACTTGATGGACCGAAAAGTTACAAAAGAAATGCAAAATACGAATAAAATGTTGTATGACCCGACTTATTAAAAACGGAATGCAATATTAAAACAGGCAAAAACATTTTTCAGCCAGAAAAAAATAGTATTAATTAATGCAAATTAAGGTTCTAAATGACTTTATGTTTTATGAGCATGACATTATTACAATGAACATCTTTGTTAATGTACTGAAAAACGCAATAGACAGTTGTATGTGCCCACGTATTTACTGGAATGTTGTATAATAAATATGTTTTTCTTCAGAATATACAAATTATTAATATGTGATGATGCAACTACGTCATAACGTAAAAGAATCACTGAATCATTTTTTTAAAGAACCGTTTGAAGGAAACGATTCTCTGATATGAGTCTGACTCACGTCACCACGTAAAAGGTCAAAGGCAGCATGGGAAATGTAGTTCACGTGTATAAATGTAGTCGAGATGCTTAAAAATCCCCATAAAAATCAGAGTGTATATTGAATATTACTGATTCTATTTTTACATTACTACATTAAAAAAAAAAATTCTTATACCTAATTTAGACTATTTACGGAAAACTTATCACTGTTGTTTCGTCGTTGCCTAGAAACACAGGCGCCAAGAACAACCTTCATTGTAAACAAGTTGCAGTGTCAGTGTTGCAGCTCGAGAGGTAATTTATATCAACAGACAAATCTACAAAAAAGACTCACAATCGATATATATATATATATATATATATATTTATTTACAACATTTATTAATCTTTGCTTGTGTTAGTTACTAAAAATACAATTGCTCATTTAATCAGATTTATTTAATTTTATTTGTTTTCAAAATTTTGTTTGATTAAAATACACATATCCTAGAACATTTGCTACAGACTTCAATTTCGGTCTGTTCATCACACAAAATTATTGTATGACTATTGCGAAAGTCATATGTACTGTTTTTATGATACATTTGTTGTGTTTTTTTTGGCACTATAAAACAGCATACAGGTAAGGCATGACATGAGGGTGATTAAATTATGTATAATAATAATAATAAATCCTTACCATAACCTGCCATGGAGGTGCCATGGGGCCCTGAAGGGTTCTGGTTCTCCTCGCTAAGGACTTTGACATAGCGATGGCTGAGCTCGAGGATCTGTTGGCGGAGCTCGGCGCTGCTCTGGCGCCGTGGTTGTGTGATGGTGTAGTGAAGCAGCAGCAGACACCAGGCCAGGCCGAAGACCACCAGAAACACACTCAGTCTGTGAGACATGCTCCTACGCAGCACACAGCTCAGCATGGCAATGCTGCAGGTCTGATGGGACCCGGGTTAAGGGGATGGGGTGGGGACAGGTTTATAAGAGGGTGTCGGTGTCAGGTTCAGGGCTGGGAATAATTAAGTATTGAAAAAGCGGAGTGGAGGTTAAAATTAGGAATGGGGAGAAAAGCCGGTAATAAGGTCACTGATCTCAAGTATTTGTTTAGCTGTTTTGACTAGGAAATTAACAGCAAGGAAGATAGATGGATTGAAAGTAATTGTCTATTGCTGAATAGGGGTCAAGTGCAAGGAATACCTGTAAGACACAACACACAGACACACACACAAAACAAGCAGAAATTTGTCAGAATAATTGTATTAAATGGCTATAGTTACAGTTAATACACAAAGCTTCGGGTTTCAGTTTGTATGAATAAATTACGTTTCCATCCTTAAGTGAATAGAAGCCCTGTCATCACTCTCTTCCTCTGTGGTCACAGTGCTATTCTCCACCCAATCACAAATCACTCAAGCAGATGGTGCTTTAGATAAATTAATAACGCAGGGGGGAGAAATACGACCACTTTTAATCATCACATCCCCACAGAAACAGCAGGACAATACTAGTAAAGTTAAAATGTAGCATTTTTGCATATTGATTATATTAGTCAATGAAATCAATATTGTGACTGTTATAATGGAAGACTGACCAAAGTGCAGGGGATTTGCACTGTGCTCCACCCTGTCAAACGATTGTTTTCAGCTGTAATGCTGTCAAAGTATATGAAACATGAAATTTAAGAAGGGAATTACAGCATAAAACTGGGTTAAAGCTCTGAGGTCAGACATATCATGCCTTTGCTGAAAAGATAGTGATTATTAGATAAACAATGTGAGAGTTATTCATTGACTCGTTTAAATGTTGATGTTATCTAAAAGCTGCTGTAGCGATATTGGCTTGGAGAAAAGGTTAGCAATAACAGAAAAACAGGACCACTGATATTTGGCATGCAGTATAAGCAAATGTATATAATCAAACAGCTTTTAGCATTCTGGCTGAACTCATATCATGCTTGTACATATGCTCGTTTTTCTCTTTTTCACTCGGTTCTCAAGGTCTGCAGACTGATATTAAGCAGCTTAACGAATCGCCTGTACTATTGCACGCACTCTATTATCGCTTTAAGACAAGGCCGGGTGTGAAAGGTATTGAACAGCTGGAACAGCCTGATGAATCTGCTACTGTAACATAGCTAATATAGAAATTACCTTAAATACTTTGGTCAAGGTGACGGATTCGTGGACTCCAAATCGTTGACATCTTAGCGCCTGTGAATGGCAGCCCTAGCAAGCCTATCTTAAAAAATCCGTAATATTAAAACAATATTCAAACTGCATCATAACTTCAAAGCAACCGTCTCTGTATTAAGTATGAAGCTAATTATTTTTGAGGTAACGCCTTAAAATAAATGCCAGATTATAATTCGGAGCCGACTGTGGTGGCGAAACTAGGAATACAGAAAATCTTCAGTAGTATTTTTCCCTGCGGTGACTACACGAGCTATTGCGTACGACGTCACGATACGCACCAGCGACGTCCGGTTATGAATGGCTCTTCTTTGGAGTCGAATCTTTTCAATGAATCAAATTCACAAAACGATTCTTTCACATTGGACTGAACAAATCGTAAAGCCCAAAGAGCTGTGTCTCTGCTAAATGAATTTAAAATATGCTTGTGATTACCTTTTATTTTTTTTTCTAATTTTATTTTTTATTATTATTTTTTTTATTATTATTTTATTGTTTTTTATTTTATTAAAATCGTCTCAATTTGTATTTACAAAATGTGAAAATATGAAAAATATGGGAAGAACTTGCTGTTGAATTTTGTAATTTTGAAAGTTCAATACAAAAAAAGAAAAAAAAAAAATTCACGCAACGAACCGAATCAGTATACTGACTTGATGGACCGAAAAGTTACAAAAGAAATGCAAAATACGAATAAAATGTTGTATGACCCGACTTATTAAAAACGGAATGCAATATTAAAACAGGCAAAAACATTTTTCAGCCAGAAAAAAATAGTATTAATTAATGCAAATTAAGGTTCTAAATGACTTTATGTTTTATGAGCATGACATTATTACAATGAACATCTTTGTTAATGTACTGAAAAACGCAATAGACAGTTGTATGTGCCCACGTATTTACTGGAATGTTGTATAATAAATATGTTTTTCTTCAGAATATACAAATTATTAATATGTGATGATGCAACTACGTCATAACGTAAAAGAATCACTGAATCATTTTTTTAAAGAACCGTTTGAAGGAAACGATTCTCTGATATGAGTCTGACTCACGTCACCACGTAAAAGGTCAAAGGCAGCATGGGAAATGTAGTTCACGTGTATAAATGTAGTCGAGATGCTTAAAAATCCCCATAAAAATCAGAGTGTATATTGAATATTACTGATTCTATTTTTACATTACGACATTTAAAAAAAAAAATTCTTATACCTAATTTAGACTATTTACGGAAAACTTATCACTGTTGTTTCGTCGTTGCCTAGAAACACAGGCGCCAAGAACAACCTTCATTGTAAACAAGTTGCAGTGTCAGTGTTGCAGCTCGAGAGGTAATTTATATCAACAGACAAATCTACAAAAAAGACTCACAATCGCAGTGGAATGGAAAAGATACACATCGACAAACATGCAACCAATGCAGTGGAGGCCTATTTAGAATACAAAAGGTCGGTTTGTTTGGGAAAAATCGGGAAACTAAAGTCTATTCCATAGACTGTAGGTCTATTCACGTAGTGAATGCAAAAATGTTTGAAAAAAGTGATCATGTAATTCTCTATCATTGAATATTCTGTTTTGCAAAGGATTGTTGGGGAAGATGATGGAGGGAGGCTGTTTTCAGAGGAAGAGTACAAGAAATACAAAGAGACAGTGGTGCCAAGAAGAATACAAAACCGTCTATATGTCAGTTTTGGGGTCCCGGGACAGATAGACTGCAAACTGATTGGACCAGAGACACCTTGCTTCTGTACACACAGGTATGGATCATTGGTCATACACATTATTGATGTACACAAACAGATTCTTTAATAATTCTATTTCATTCTCAGGTATAAACAACATTGCACAGACTTTGAGGAGTTGCCAAAGGAAAGGCCTATACTCTTGCCTTGTAGGGTCAAAGGTTGTCAATGTGTGTCCTATGAATATGTTCATATCAACGGCTCTAAACCAGTACGCTGTCAATGCAAACACACAACCAGTGAACACAGTGAAGCTATAGCACATCAGTGCAAAAAATGTGAGTTTTGCACCATTGCATCTCCTATTATTAATTGAAAGCTAACATAATTCATCATGTTACACATAAGCATTTAATCAAACGTAAACCAATCTTAACCTGTTTACCTCCAGGCACTCACTGCACTGGCTATCGAAGTCCATTCACCTGCGAATGTGGTCAGCCTGGATATGCCCATGTGACGCTGGTTGAAACCACGGAAGAGCGCATGGCACGGGGGCGTCCGGTGGGCAGAGCTGTTCCATATGCAGCTATGGGAGGTTTAACTGGATTCAGCTCACTGGTGGACGGCTACCTGAGACTGGATCCAAGTGGCGTAGGCAATACATGTGAACAGCACACAGAATAGGCTATGTGTCACCTGACAGTGGTGCCACAACAAACATAATGTTAGCATTAGGTTAGCACACACCTTTAGAGTCAACATTATGCTTGTTTAATTATGTTATATATTTTATGCTTTCTGTTTTGCCTGAGAGAGAATTCTTAATATTTGTCTAGTGGTATATTGCAACAAATACTTTTTTACAGTGTATATTTATTAATCATAACATTAATATAAATGTATTTATAGTATTTGCATACTGTATTATATAATAATAATAACATTAATAAAATAAATGAATAAAAATAAACTCATACTGATATTAAGATTAATCATTTAAAATAATCAGACCTAATTAAGACACTTTAAAAATACATAAAATCAGGAAAATTGTCCCCGGGTTTTTTAAAAACTTTTTATTAAGTAATAATAATTTCATTGAGTTAATTCTCAATCTTCCATAATTAAATTTTTTATAAATACATTTAATAAATAACTGTAATTGAATTGAATACATTTAATAATCTTTTTATTTACTTTTTTTATTTTGTGTTAAGAATTTAGTTGAGTTAATTGTCAATGCTTCATGCCCCATACAAAATATTTAAACAAAAATACATATTTATTAAAAATACTCATGTCATTCAAGTATCTGACAGAATAAAGATTTTGGATTAAAATGTATATGAATATAAAAGCAATTTAAAAGGTACATATTATGCCTGTAACATTTTACCATTTCTTTTTAATAACCGTTTTTATTGGATAATTTTTAATTATCCTTTTTAAATTTCACCTACAGTGTAAAAATATATATGTTTAAATTGGTAAAATGACTGATATAGTTTTCAGTTTTGGCCAGCAGAGATCAGTAGTGATACACATGCCTCTGCTTCACTTCACCAGCTTTGACTTGACTGTGTGCGAGAGATGTGTCTTTGTTTTTAATGAATTGGCTTTAAATTGCTCTTCTCTACTTGCTAATGTTCAGAACAATAATAGCAATTAAAGAACGTAATTAAAAGAGTGTTTGTGCTCTATCTATGAGACACAGAGGGCTGCGTGCTCTGTGAACTCCGCAGGCTCTGTGGCTCGCATTCAATCGCTTTCTGTTCAAGAAGCAGAAAGAAAGAAGAAACAATTTCACCCCTAATCATTGGTACAGTTCCACTAGAACGGTTTGCTGTATGTGCTGGGCATGACTAGCTCTGTCTTCCACTGTGTGTGTGTGTGTGTGTGTGTGTGTTTTGAATCTCAGAATATGTTTGAATGTGCTCCTCTGTTTTTGTATTTGTGAATGTTTCATGACTCATCCTAAGCTCCTCAAGATTCCATTAGATCGGATTTGTTACGACTTCCTCTTTATATGTTCATACACTCTTCCTCTGTTCTGATATGCATCTCCACTCAATTGCTCTCGAGAACATCTGTCTGTCTCATGAAATGCGCAAATGGGAGTGTGTGTGACCTGAGAGACTTGCCTTTGGTGACGTCGGTGATGAAAAAGAGACCAAACACAGACTCTACTCATTACCACACTTGAAATAAAACTCGCGGCTCATTGGTGGATGTTTCATCGCCACCAACACTCTGAAAATACCTCGCTGATTTATTTACAAGTCTCTTTTGTACTGCCGCTCTTTGCCTGGTCCTCTATTTATATTAATCCTCATTTAGATGGTATTATATTATGCACCTTGCACCTCTCTACCTCTTCAGTGATATCTTTAATTCGTTCCCTCTCTTTTGTCCCCCCTCCTCCAAACCCCTCAGCTTCAAATCTTTAGTTACACAGGAATCAGTTAAAGACACTGTGAGCAGGAGAAAACATAGTATGAATTGGGTGTAAGTTCACTGGTTGGCCGATGTTCACGGCAATGTTACACATTCACGAATGGTTCTGTAAAAGGATAATTCACCCTGCAAAAGTAAAAAAAAAATCATGATTTACTCACCCTCTTGTCATTCCAAATTATATGATTTTCTTTCTTCTATCAATCCGCAGAAGAAGCAGAATGTCCATCAGCTCTGTTTCATTCGATGATGAAAGTGATTGGTGACCAAGAGTTTTGGTGAATAACATGCTTAAATTTGAGACTGTCCTCACACAAATGGCTTCAGAAGCTGTATGGACTACTTTTATAATTGTTTTATGATGAGCTGTGTTCTTTCAGGAGCTTGACAGCCTCTAGCCACTATTCATTTCCACTGTGTGGAAGAGAGCAGTGTGAACATTTTTCAAAATATCCCCATTTGTCTTCCATGGAAGAAATAAAGTCATACTCAATAGGAATGACATGACCCCAACATTAACAACTGTCCTAATTATATGTTTCTTTAATGATTTTGGTAACACTTTATTTTAAGGACCAATTAGTTGCTTATTAGCATGCATATTACTAGCTTATTGGCTGTTTTTTAGTACTTATAAAACACATATTAATGCCATATTCCGCATAACCATATTTTAGGTCCCTTAATCCTACCCAATACCTAAACTTAACAACTGCCTTACTAACTATTAATAAGCAGCAAATTAGGAGTTTATTGAGGCAAAAGTTATAGTTACTGGTTATTAGTTCATTTTTTAATTTTTAAGAATTTGTTCCCAAAATAAAATGTGACCATGATATTAATAGTATAATTAGATTTTGATGTAGAACCCTTTATTATGCTCAATGTGTTCAATTACAGAACCCTAAAAGCAGGGTTCCAAGAGCCCTAATCTGGTTCATTTAGAACCATTTGTCAATGGAGACTTCAGTTTAAATGAATAAACCTGTAGTGAAGTCTAATTTTATATTTAAATTGATAAGATAAGTTAAATATTAAGAAGTCCAGCTCATAAAATCCCTTGAGGGTTTTTTGATACTTGCTTAAAAGTATCCACTTTGGCCACAAGCCAGGCCCTGTGGCCACTTGGCTGCATGCTTTCAAATAATGAATTGCGTTTAAAGTTAAAATATCTATATTTCAATTAGATGAACTCAAAACAAGTGATTTGTTGGTGGGAAGATTGCTTAATTAAATACATCCATGCACACAAAGACACTCGTAAACACATACATGCAGTGATGTGATAATGTGATCAGTCTACAATAATGAAACTCTTGCTTTGTCCTGCTTCCATCTATATACTTCTTTAATTTAAAAAAAAAGAATGAAAGAAGGAATTGAAAAGACTCTTTGAACTCATTAAAAATGCATCACAAGTAAAATGAGAAGGAACAGTTTATTAACAAAATATAAATTTACCATCCGGCGGAGGTTTTGAATGACGACGTAGAGGAAAATCAGGACAGGATTACATATAAAGGAGCTGGTGTAAATGTTTAATTAATCTGATTAGATTCAGCAGATCTGCGGCACTAAAGTGATTCACACTGAAATCAGATTAATTCCCTTCCTTGCTGTGATACAGCACATGAATTTTAATTCTGGGCTGAAATGAGCAAGTAATCGCAATAGTGAATTTAATTAAGTCAACCGTACGCTATCGTGCCATTTTTTTTGTCAGAGCAGAGATCACGAAGTGCTGTGATTCAGATTATTGATGTGGCTTTATTTGTCTATGACACACTTTGTCTCCTTTTTGACCCAAGCAGGTGTCCATGGGAAGTCTTAAACATGCAAACAATCCACAAACACACACCTGTGTCCAAAGAGAACACCAGAGTAAGCTAGCGGAAGGGATGATGTCTGACCTGAAAGGTGACATATCGGTTTAGTGTGAGTGTTTGATGATGGTGCATGTGTGTTGATATCAACCCTGATGCCTAACTTCACAGATCCTTTGGTGTCATAATGCCTTCAATAAGCCATCGCTGTATTAATTATGTCCTCCCAATGACCTTAATCTAAAGACAAGATGCAATGAAATCACTTCACAAATTCTCCACCAATGGAAACCATTAAAAAATGCAAGGAAAAATGGAAAACGTCAAAATATGCCTCCTTACAAGTCTAATCTCCTGGCCATGGAAACCTTTCTGAGGTCTTTAGAGCAACTGATGTACTGCTATCGGAGGCACCATGTTGCCATGATTGACAGGCGTTTGGGGAGGAACAGAAGAGAGTAGAAAATAGACCTGAAAAATATTCACCCCTTTACGTTAGCTTATAGCTCAGATTCGTCACGCGAAGCAGCTGTCAATCAGTAACATACATTTAAAAAGTGTGATATGATACTGTATTAGTTTTACTGAAACTGCAAACTTGCTATACAAAGTCAGGAACTGTCCAGCAAACTATGAATCATAGGCACTTCTTGATTCTGTTCAGACTTTATTAATAGTCTGTTTATATTACACTGAATTGCATTGAAGCCTCGTAAAGTGTCGCCTCTTCTCTGTCTCCCATAAGCCTGACAGATTGCTGCACAATTGTCAGAGTCTATGTTGTGTGATGTTGAAAAGAACAACATCAATTACCTTGAATCAAAGCAGTGAGACCTAAAAGTGTGTCAAGACAATTGCTTTTTCAATTTCTTTGTTAAAAACCTTGAAAATCGACGCTGGAACTGCGTTGTGGCCGTGACTCGAGGTGCTTCAGCTCCTCTCCCATCCTTTATTCTGCTCAGTGGTGCTTTGAAGGATTGAAAAAGGAAGAGGAGGAGTGAGGGAGCAGAGATGAAGACTGTGGGACTGGTGGCATTATTTATTCAAGCCGAGCACATGAATGTGAAGGGGGAGACAAAAGCGAGCGTGGAATCACGCAGCTGTGCAAAATCAATAAGGTTTCGCTTGACAGTAATAAAAGATGATCTCTGTCGTTTGTGCATCAAAACACTCCGATTTGCCCTCGTACTGCATCCACACTCTCAAATACCCTCAGACGCATGACGGCACTTTGAAGACCAACTGCCACTGACAGATTATGGTCCTGCGAGGACCCGAGGCCTCCTCTGGTCACAATTGTGAGATGTATTTGTATTAATAAATTTATAAGTTGTATAAATAAGCATAATTCCTGAAGAATCTGCAAAAGATTGTTTCTTAAAAGGTACACACATACACACTTATCATTTTAGTGAAATATTTTTTTCCTATGGTTGAATAAGCTTGAAACACAG